CTCACGGTTCGGTAGATGATCATCAACTTGACTAAAAAAAAAATGTTAAATAATATACACTGATAAAAAACATTAACTGTAAATTAACAATAAATATCAACATTTTTGGAAATGTATGATAGAAAACTTACGCTGTCAAAATCAAAGGAATGAGTTTTGGAAAATATGAATATCTATCACGCAGGTTTAACATCCAATTGGATACAACACGACAGAGAGCTAATCGCACGCCAACATTTTGATCAAAAAGTCTACTACTGATAGAAGTGCATACCTCTGGAACTTGTTTTCCATTACTGTACATAATGACATAATCTAAAACATACATCCATACAATTTATTATGCAGTATGTAGTATGTACCCATATTTATACAAACTAAATTTAAAACGTGATCAATTTACTCAGTGACTGGATTGCTGTATATCTAACTGCCGATTGATGATAATTTGTCGCTTTTAAAAGAGGTTCAACAAGCAAATCGGCCACCATATGAAAATTGGTTTTAGTAGCACTGGCCAGTTCTGCCGCACACAGACAACTGTCTTTTTTTACTGCGGGACACGAGTCCAATATGCTTTTCGTCAAAATGCTAACAATGTCGTCAAAACACGGAAAAATCAACTGCTCGTAATTTTTGATGATGTCTCTCAACAACTGCACGTACAAGAGTTTCACTTCTTCTGAACATTCTATCATCGACACGTTGCCCATACGCTTGTGTATGACACGGACGATCGGTGCGATGTCATCGACACAGCCCGTGCACACCAGAGTCCTGACTAATTGTACAGCCGTTTCGCGACATGCTTCGGATCCGTCATTCAAGCACGGGTACACGAATGTTTTTACAGCCATCATAAAGTCCGGCGACGCCTCGAACTTTTCGTCACCCACGACAGTCGACAATCGGTCCAAGTTTTGTTTCCGGACCTTTCTGTTTTCGCTCTGTAGGAGTTTGAAACTTTTGTCGTTCATCACGGTTAGATCACACATCGTTTAGCAATCGGCCTTCACTGTAACCACGAGAATCTACGAAAATAACGACGACCACTCAAACGCTGAATAAATAATTAAAGTTTAATAAACAGTAACAACAATATGGTTTTGATCAAACATTTTAAATCCACCGGTTTGTCACCAAGATACCTCGTTGGCGCCATGGCAATGTAATCAACATAGATAATAAAGATCTTTATTATCTATGGTAATCAATCATGAATCGTGATATAATCACAGCTGATATATATAATAATATTATTATGTTATTATGCTATAATAATATATATCTGTGATTAGGAATAATATTTTTTTTAGCGGTCAAATAAAAAATAGTAAATGTAAAATGACTTCTATAAATTATTTTTTTTTTTTTAACAACATGATTAGAAATAATAAAATACCTACGGTACAAAATAAATCATAATATCATTGATATCATCTTATTTGACGTATTATGACCATACAATTTCCAACCGACCATGAATCTTCAATTCATGGCGAGAGTTCGCTATCTAGTACTATATAGAAATCTGTGTTATTAAATATATTTATTATTTTATTACTGAATAGGGGATAGCGATACACCTACAAAGGTCAGGCTTAAAACTTTTTTTAAATAATATTTATTATTTTTAGATTCTGAGCGGAGCGATGAATGTATTGGTTTTACAATGATGTGTGTTTTTTTTTATATTTTTATATTTTTTTTTGTGTCTGTCATCACGTTTTGGGACAGTAAAAGTGCTTCGATTTTCTTCAATAGTACCTTTTCTGATAGGAAAGTGAATCTAGTTGGTACTTTGGGGGGTCAAAAGTAAACATTTTTCAGTAGTTTTCACAAGCGCCGTAAAAAACAACATAAAAATTAAGGAAAAACGGGAATTTTTACGCAAAATCGATTTTCCAAAAAATCGAATTTGGTTTTTGGTGTAACTTTAAAACAAATGACCGTAGATACATGAAATTTTCACTGGTTGTTTATATTTGCATTTTCTATACACGATAAAATTTTCAAAATATTTTGATTTATTTTGAACTGTTTAGGGACATTTTCATTTTTCATTTTTTTTTAGTTATTTTTCTAGAAATATCAGTAAAATTTTATTTGTTGGTTAAAAAAACTTGAAAATTTAATAGAAGACTCCTAGTATATTGTTTCAAAGGCGGATGAAAAATCACGAAAATTAGCAAATTATTTTGAGTTAAGAATTCGCAAAAATTTTTCTTTTTAAATCTAAGATTTGAAAATGTAATACAAGATTACTCATAAGTTTGTCTACCTTTATCAATAAAAAAATCTCTACCGGACAGTCAAATTAAAATTTTATGAGCGTTTGAAATTCAAATTTTTACAACATTGGATGTTCACTCGATTTCTCATGTAGCGATTTCCTTATTTTGTTGTAATTCATAAACGAATAACTATAGATATATGAAAATTTCACTGAATGTTTATATTAGCATTTCCTATACACCATACAATTTTGAAAATATTTTGACTCTTTTTGAGCTGTTTACGGACATTTTCAGTTTTCAATTTTTTTAGTTTTTTTTTTTTATAATTGTCAATAAAATTTTATTTGGTGGGCCAAAAAGTCTGAAAATTGAATACAAGCTTTCTTATATATTGTTACAATATCAGTTGAAAAATATTAAAAATACATAGGCACGGTTTTTTTTTATAAGCATTTAAAGTTGGAATTTTGACAAAATTTATCAAAATCTCGAAAATTATCAATCGTTGGAATTAAAAAATTATAAAATGTTCAGTTTTTATAACTAAGAGTTGAAAATTTAAAACAAAGATTCTCTTAAATAATTCATACTGTAACCAAAAAATCTAAAAAATATATAAACACACTTATTTTTTACAGACATTTTAATTTCAAATTTAGACAAAATTTCATATTTAAACCAAGAGTTACGATTTTAGTTATTTTGTTGTAATTGAATAATATTATTCGTGGGTACTTGAAACTTCTAAAGTGTACTATTATATATCTATGATAGTATCACGGTTTTTGTTGATGTATAACGCGTTATAAGTATCTAATGGATATTGTGATATGATTAGTTTGGAATTTATCATAGGTACCTATTATAGGTCAATTTTTTGTTTAATACCATAGATATGTATATAATATGTCTTATACATAGACTGACATACCGTCACCGCTCAGAATCGTTTTTCTTATACAAGGATATTATATCATTGAATTAAAATTTAATACCATCCATTATACAGTGACCCACTTGTAACCTACTGTACAGCAGAGCGACACCCACTTGCCCACCTTTTTTTATTGAATTAAGATTAAAGAATTTTTAGTTAACGTACAGTTAATAAAATTATTATTTTTAACACATATTTTTTATCTTTTCTTCATATTTATTTTTTTATTTTTGTAAAAACTGTACGTAAACTAAAAAGTCTTTAATTTTAATTCAATAAAAAAAATAATAAATATTATTTAAAACAAGTTAAGTAAAAATATAATTTTAAATAAAAGATTGTCTAAATAATATAATATAGTACAATACAGCTGGCCAAAAAATTCGACATAAAAATAAAAAAAAAAGATTATATAAACAAATTATGATAAATTAATTTGATAAATTTGACGTTTCTATTGCGAAAAGTCAGATAAAGGAGTTGTTACACTATCTTCACAATTTTTCTTATTTTTTTCCACACACACCCATTTTTTTGTTTTGTATACATATAGTCTTTAAAAAACAACTCATAACCTCCTCTGTCTGTTTTAAGAATTTGAATTTAGCCATGACCACAAAAAAAAAAAATTAAAACAAGAATTTTTATTTTAAAACGTATATAACCACTAAACGACTACTAAACTGCTTTGAACAGTTTTGATATAGGTAAAATATTGACTCAATGCTCATGACGATGTAAGATTGACGATTGTATAAGAAAGTTATGTTAATTGTCTTAGTAATTGACTGGGTTATGGAGTATGGACACAATTTTAGATTTCAATGTTACCCATCCAATTCAATATTAGTATACCTACTATACTATTTTACTATTATTTAAAACTATATTTTTACTTAACTTGTTTTAAATATTATTTATTATTTTTTTATTGAAATTAAGATTAAAGATTTTTTAGTTAACGTACAGTTTTTACAAAAATAAAAAAATAAATATGATGAAAAGTTAAAAAATAATAATTTTATATTCGAAGGTAAATAATTAAAAATAAAAAAAGCAAAGAAAAACGGAGGGAAAATGTCCTACTACGTCGAAAACAGCCGGGAGGGGGGAATGACCGGAGGGAAAATGTCCGCCATTCGGTTTCTTTATAGGTTTATGGAATAGGGCTATTACTCTATTAGTGTAATATTCTTTTATCTTTACTCTATATGGTGCAATATGATGACGTCTTCCCCTATTAATTGGACATCCCCACCAACCAAACTGGGACAATTATCCCCTGGAGACAACATTACAACCATTTTTAAAGTAAAAATATTAAACAATAGGTAATAGGTAAACAATGAAAATTAATAAATGTATAAATAGTTATATTAATATATACCTATAGTTCAGTATTTTCCCGGTTAACACTGAACACATATATATATTAATAATATAATATATATTTGTGACACTGAACAATCCTATAAAGCGCTAGTTGTCATACCAAACTGTCAGCTTGCTGAAGCGGGAATATTATTACAATAGAACAAAGTTATTACGGGGAGGACTCAGAAAAACATTGATAAGACTTTTCCTTTCCGTATCCTGTATCTTTCATGGGTTTGACCGTGTGACCACTCACCACTCACCTGGTCTATGGTAACTAAGAAGTCATGAGGTTACCGAGCTGCGCGCTGCATTATAATTTGTAACTGATTATAATTTGTAATATTTCCATTTCTGTTTAATCATTAATCGTAATTCGTATTTCGTAAAACGGTTCGTAACCTATCAGTCTATCACCCATGGTCGCTTATTACCCAAATAGTAATTAAATCATGTCCAAAATATTATCCACAACACTCCGGAAAAACAACTTGCTCCACTGTTCAAAGGGAGTCGTCAAGTGGCTGAGTAGTTCTATAAGAAAAAGTACTACTTTGGACAAAGATTTGGTTAAACGCCTGGAAACTGTGTCACATGTTGGCTTTTCAAAACAAAGTGGTCTCGAAGTTTTGAGTGCTTCAGTTAAATTTGCTGATCGTATCACTAACATTGATACTTCCAAGGTTCCACCGCTCATTACTATCTTGGAGAATTGGTATGTAATATCATATTAGGTAGATAGAAATAACTATTATTTCGATCTTGATTTACCTAAATAATGCAATATTAAAATTAGTTAGAAATGTTATATACCTATATAATATCTAAGTTATGCCTATTAGTATAATTTATTTAATTTTTGAGCAAAATATAATGCAAATACTTATAGCAATACGCCAATACCTAATGATAAGTGCTACAATAGTTTATTAACTATTACCCAAACTGCATCCCATTTAAAAAAAATTAATTTTTATCTAATAGGTAAAATAGATAATTAATTAAATAGTTTTCGGGCTAGCTTCATCTATTTTATTTCCTAAATAAATTTTAGATTCTAAATTAAGCTGATTGGTCTTACAACTTTTTTTTGTTTGACATGGATGTATGGATTGTGGTGACTGGTAAATGTATGCATAGGCTGTTGACATATAAGTACATAAGTAATATCACAATGTCGTGTTTACTGTTTGCAGTCGTGGTATAATTCTATAAGTTGTAATAATTATATAAATCTTACCATTCTAACATTTTTTTGTATTTTCAATTAAGTAATTTATATCTATTTCTAGGTATGATATACATATAGTAAAATATAAAAACTCGACTTTAAGTTATTTCTTAATACATTTTTATTTAATTTTTATTTCATATAAAGTGTTTATTTTTTTTAAGTATAAGTCAAAGTATTAGATCAGTAGGAGTTTATGTGTTGTTAGTTGTTACCATCGCAAAAATATTTATTTTTGTAGTCAAAAAGCGCCAAAACATGATGAGAAAGAAATTAATATTAAAAAAAAAAAGGTGCTCTGCTGTATAGTAGGTTATAAGTGGTTCACTGTATAATGGATTTTATTAAATTTGAATTCAATGATATAATATCATTGTATAAGAAAAACGATTCTGAGCCGAGACGGTATGTCAGTCTAGGTATAATACATATTATATACATATCTATGGTATTACAACAAATTGACCTATAATAGGTACCTATAATAAATTCCAAATTAATCATATAACAATATAAATTTGGTACTTATAACGAGTTATACATCAACAACAAACTCTGATACTATCATAGATATATAACTATATAATATATATAGTTAAATTTTCAATCCTTAGATATAAAAGTTGAACAATTTATAAATTTTTAACTAAAAAATAATTATTCAATTTTAAATTTGATAAATTTTGTCAAAATTCGATCTTTAAATGCTTATAATTCACCACACTTACTCATTATACCTCGTATGTTGTATAGATTGTAAATATTCTTTTAAAATAAAAAAAAAAAAAAAAATGCTTATAAAAAAAATTGTGTCTACCTATGTATTTTAAATATTTTTCAACTGATATTATAACAATATATCAGGAGCCTTGTATTAAATTTTTACATTTTTTGGCCCAACAGATAAAACTTGATTGATATTCATAGAAAAAAAAACTAAAAAAATTGAAAAATGAAAATGTCCATTAACAGCTCAAAAAGAGTCAAAATATTTTCAAAATTGTATGGTGTATAGGAAATGCTAATATAAACATTCAGTGAAATTTTCATGTATTTACAGTTATTCGTTTTTGATTTCCTACAACAAAATAAGGAAATCGCTACATGAGAAATCGAGTGAATATCCAATGTTGTAAATATTTGAATTTAAAACGCTCATAAAAATTTAATTGACTTTCTTATAGACATTTTTTTTGATAAAGGTAGACAAACTTATGAAGAATCTTGTATTACATTTTAAAACCTTAGATTTAAAAAGAAAAATTTTTACGAATTTTTAACTCAAAATAATTTGCTAATTTTCGTGATTTTTCCATATTTTGTCAATTTATGAACTTTAAATGCTTAGAAAAAAAACTGTGACTAAGGATTTTTAATATTTTTCATCTGCCTTTGAAACAATATACTAGGAGCCTTCTATTAAATTTTCAAGCTTTTTCAGCCAACAAATATAATTTTATTGATATCTTTAGAAAAAAAACAAAAAAAAAATGGAAAATGAAAATGTCCTTAAACACTTCAAAATATTTTGAAAATTTTATTGTGAAATGCAAATATAAACAATCAGTGAAAATTTCATGTATCTATGGTCATTTGTTTTAAAGTTATACCAAAAACCAAATTCAATTTTGTGAAAAATAAATTTTGCATAAAAATTCCCGTTTTTCCTTAATTTTTCTTTTGTTTTTCTTGGCGCTTTTGAAAATTACTGGGAATTTTAAATTTTGACCACCCCACTGCACCAACGATATTCACTTTCCAATCGAACAAGATATTGAAGTTGAAAATCAAAGTATTATTTCGATTACTTATCTTGAACACAGACACAAAAAAAAAAAACACATCATTGTAAAATCAATACATTCATCGTTCCACTCAGAATCTAAAATCATGGTATAAATGTTCCATATTATATTTAATACCACAAGATTTTAATCTTAATCAACAAATTTATTTAATATATATGTATTTAAGTTAATTATGTGAATACAAATTGATATAATTACTTCTAATTTTACTTACTATTAATTATTAACAATTTATAGTCCTTAGTAATAAATTATAAAAATTAATGTAACACACCTATATGACATAATATTATGAAAATTGGTATATGATTTTTTTTATTTAGGTATAATACTTTTATAAATACACTTAGGTACCTACTATTTTTACTTTAAAATATTAATATTGGTAATGTTGATAATACATATTTTTCTGGTGCTTACCTTTGATGTTTTTAAATTCAAAATATAAAATTTTGAGATACGCAATACATTGTTATGATATCTTTAGATATGAAGATTCTACAATTTTGTTTAAATCTTGTTCTAATTGTGTTGACATACTTGTTTAATATTTAAATATTAGTATTAGGTTAGTATTTAAGTATTATTATATTTTATATAGTTTGGCCACAGTGTCGGCCTGGCACACCAAAGGCCCATGAATCAGTGTTTTTAAGGGGCCCCATAATAAATACAAAATTTACTTGACATTTTGGTAAAATGCTCACCACCTTTTTTCTTTTAAAAATACATTTATTCAAATTCTGATTTTAGAATCTTTAAGTATACCTAAAGACCAGTGGCGAAGTGTCATAGGAGACAAAGAGACAACATCTCCCCACTTATAAATTAGAACACGGGACAAAATAAATAATTATTATTTTGTTTTATAAAATATAATATGATATATGTTTCAGTATTTGTTAAAATCGGTTTTTTTGTTGTACCTAGTGTTGTACCTAGTGTACAGTTATAGAATTCTTGAAATATATTAGAAGCATGCGATACGGCCGTGCGTACCCCAAATATGGTATTATATCTAAATATAATAGACGTTGCGATGCGACGTCTCGTAAATATGGGCATGCGGGTACAGGGGGAATGCTAATGTGAGTGGGGTTTACTATGTAAACTATGAGACACGTCTCACCGTTCGTAATTACCTCCATCCTCAATATTTATTACCGTCGCATTGTCATGCTATCGTGATAGGTACGTTGTACTTGTTTCTTAATATTTATTGTTTTATATTGTAATTTGTCCTCATGAGCCATAACTGATGATTTAATTAATGCCATTTTTAACAATGGAATTATTAACAACTCGTACAAAAAAAAAAATGTCTACATTTAGATTTGTTATTATATTAAATTATCATTTTAAGGAAGTCTTACCGTTTTTAATTTTTTTAATATAATATTTCGGTTTGTTTTTAGTTTTTGAACATTGATTTCTTACCATATAGATAAAATACAAAGGAGGGTTGGGGAGTCTAGGCATATTAATACAATTTTTTTTTCCAGTGCCCCTAATCAATTCACGCTTCTCTACTGCTAATGACCATATTATCAAATTCCTGATATTTTTTGTACTACTATTAAAGAGTGTCCTGTAGCTATACAAACTTATATTTTTCAAATGAGAATCTCCTTTTTTACTGCAAATTATTTAGCAGATGATGTTTTTGTAAATGTTGATGTATCTAACTCAAAATTCTAATAAGTAGTTGCTGAATTGTTAAAATGTTTATACTAAGGATAATAATCCTTAAATATGGTTTTACAATAATATACTATAAGTAATATTAGATGTAGTACCAATTCACTATTCAGGATATTTAGATAATTTTTACAAATTATTTATCTTGTAATTAGTACTAATTTTCAAATCATCTAAGCCCCCAAATCAACTTAACAAATTTCCATATACGTATTATCCTTAGTACACAAAGTTATATTACTTAAAAACTACTAGTTCAAATTTTGATTTACATGTATCAAAATTCTCAAAAAACAATATCTGCTGAATAATAATTACTAAAAGTAAAAATAGAGGATTCCTATTTGAAAACAGAAGTTTGTATTCTATTTGTATTACAACATCGTCTTTAAATGGTTTAAAAAATCTCAAGTATTCAAAAATCTTCAAGTTTATTTAATAATTCCAAAAATCAAAATTTGAATATAATATGTAAAATTGAAGTAAAAAAATAGGGTGACCATGCTTAAAAAATCACTCTGTATAATATTAACGGTAAGCCTGACGAAGAGAATCTTTCGTTTAATAATAAATTATTAAATTATTGAAATATTTGAAACTGCAAAATAATAAATAATAATTATTAATTATACAGAAACGAAATTACGAAAACCAAAATTATATTTATATTACCTATAGAATTTTAACTTTGAAGACAAATCCATAAGCTATAAGCATAATATTATTATTCGAGTAAACTTTTAATAGTAAATGTCCAATATTCATAATTATTTTGTATTTACATATATATATATATATATATATATAATATATATAGGTATAAGTTGATGTATAGTATTATAAATCATACATAGTCGTCCGAGCCCATTGCTTTTAAGGAGAGATATTATAAAACCTAACTTAAAATGCAGTAGCTCAATTAATCCAAAAAAAACCTCCTCCTATTTATTACTTGACACTTACTATTATGCCCTGCTCACACTAATATATAATGGGC